CCTATATCAGACCATGATGAAATAGAGAAGGAAAGTTCATGCTCTCAAAAACTTTGCATAATAGTAAAATAATTTGCACATATGGCTCCCTTCAACCTCATGGTCCCAGAAACACTCGACAGTGATAACTGAACAGCATTCCCTTTTCATGGATGGGGAACAAGTGGCTAAGGGACTCATTTCCAAAAGGGGGCAGCACCCTAGAACCAGTGGGAACTGTGAGCATCCAGTACCTCTGAAATATCAGCCTTAAGTGACCTGTCCAAAAATCATGGAGCCAGCCAGTGGCACCGTCAGAAAGAGAATCCAGCTCTCTGGACTCGTGATCTGTTTAACTGGGCTTCCCTCAAACTCGCCAGTGCCCTTGAGCTGTGAAAGGGTCAGACACTACGGACAAGCCTGTAACAGCTTCTTGGGGATGCCTGCCATCATTCACACTGCCCAAGATTTCGCTAAGAGATGCCAGCATTAATTCTAGACCACGACATTCAAGACAGACTTCCAATAAGCAACCCTGTTGCCAGGTGTATCACCAACCTCCAGGAAGCTGTTAGTGTTCATCTCATTGCATGGGGTGTCCACAATGCGAGCAGCCAGCCTCACCCCTTCTGTAGCACTTGCCAAACACTGGAAATAAAAGAAATGGAAGGCACAGACCATCGAGAGTTGGCGGACTAATTGCACAACGCTGCACAGAAATTGGGTTCAACGTAAAGGCACAAGACGTGCAGTTCCCCGATTCTCAACCGCAACAGATCCTTGTTCAAGTCCAACACTTTTGCACTGCCTATTCTTCAGCTCCAATTAATTAGCTGTGCCTTAAGGAAGCTGAATTCCTTTCCAGCGTGAATTGACAGCACAACGTAACAGTCCTTTTCACTGTCCTACTGAACAATCACACAGCGCAAAGTCAAGTTATGAATGCAAAGGAGAGGGCATGAAACCGATTCATATAATGAAGGGCTCCCATAAACGGTGGGCTGCTTATGCTGGAAGCCTGTGGAAATGACATAGTCCTTTGGAGGGGAGGCTGTAGAGCTGATTAACTCTGGAGGCTTCAATGCTGAAGTTTACTATTGCAATACATTTTACATGGGCCTCCATCTTAAACTGGCCCAGACAAGGAAGATGGTGTAGAATAGAGCAGCCTGCCTGGTGAGTGGTGTATCCAAAAGGAAGCACGTGACATCAGTGCACTGGGGTCTGCAAGAGCCATCTCATATTTTCTGGGTTGAATTTATGGCGTGAAATCCTAGTCTCACTGAAGTCAATGGGAGTTTTTTCACTGAATTCAGTTGGGGAAAGGGTGTCAGGATTTCACTCTAGAGCCGTGGTTCTCAAACTGATTTGATCACGCCCCTTTCTTTGTGTCTGCAGTAGTTACCACCCCTCGCCACCCAAGTACATATACTCATAAAAACAATCCACTTGCAACTCACTAAATATCAAAAACAGTAAGGTACTGATTCAAACAGAGCCATTTAAGTATATGGCAATACCATACCATGCCACCCGTACTGCTGCCGCAGCGCTACCTTCAGACCTGGGGGCCAGAGAGCAGTAGCTGCTGGCCGGATGCCCAACTTTGAAGGCAGCGCTGCTACCAGTAGCTTCTCATGCCCCCCCAGAATATATTCTGCGCCTCCACAGGGAGGAGGCCATATCCCAGTTTGAGAACCTAGAATCTAGGGGTTGGTTTTGAGCCATAAAGCCTTAAGTGGTTTGGGCCCTGCCTCCATGATGGGGTCCGTTTTCATTACTCATAGGATAATACTTAGTCCTGCCATGAGTGCAGGACCTCTCGAGGTCCCTTCCTGTCTTATGATTCTATGATTTTCTCGTTTGGGGTGAGGAGCAGCTGCTGTTACGCAACTGCCCTATATTGTAATATACGGTCATAACAAAGATGCTTAGAGCTTGGGAAAGCCACTTTAAAAAAGAAATAAAACACAACTATATCCTGCCCTTTGCCAATCTATGAATACTTCCCTGCCACCCTCACGAAAACTGATTAGCTGGGCTGGCATCATTTTGTGTTGTGTAGCTAATCCAGCTCGCAAGCCAAGGCAGAAGCAAAGGCATAAACTAGAAAAATTTGTAACTGCTCTTCTGACAGGGAGAAGCGTCAGCTCAGTGACACTAGTCAACCTAGGCCTCTTCAGCTCCATCACAGCCAAAAACATGGTTGAGGGGTTCCTGCAACTAATCAAGTGATATGCTAAGTTCATGCTGTATAATACAGACTTGCAGCTCAACTCTGACTGATTATTTCCCTAGTGCAGAGGTTCTCAAACTGGGGGTCACAAGGTTATTACATGGGGGGGGTTGCGAGCTGTCAGACTCCACCCCCAACCCCACTTTGCCTCCAGCATTTATAACAGTGTTAAATACAAAAAAAGTGTTTTTAATTTATAAAGGGGGGGGTCGCATTCATAGGTTTGTTGTGTGAAAGGGATCACCAATACAAATGTTTGAGAAACACTGTCCTAGTGTCTCATTTCTGGCTACAAAGTTTCACTAGGAGAATAAAACATTGAGGTGATGTAATGTCACATATAAATATTATAGGCCATATTCTGGCCCCAGAACATTCAGGTGACTTCAACGAGAGATGCACATATGTAACAAATAGTAGAATTCAGCCTCATAAAAGCAGGATAAACCTACTGTAACTTCCTTTGGCTGGAAACATATACACATGCCTGATTCAATGCAATATTAGGCCATATGTTAAAATCTATTAATTGCACTTAAGACAAATATTATAGAAGTGACGTCTCTATGTGATGTGTCTGTACAGTTCTCCGAGGACACAGGAGTCTGACCCCTGATTGAGATCTTTAAGTACCTCTGCAAAAATATCTTCAGCATTACCAATTCTGAATGCTATAAAGTTATATTCACATAAGTGGTAATAAAACTGAGTTGATCTGTGACCATTTCTTATCTTGGGTGCAGTAGATATTCTACATTCATTAGCTACTGAATGGTAATTCATATCAGTGTCACAGTTCTGAAAGAAAACTGGGCTGGATATACAAGGAGCAATGTGACAGCTAACTGAGGGAAAATCTGTAACTTACTTTAAGCGTTTCCACTTCTATAGGCCCATTGTTCTGTCCAACCAGGAAAAACTCCACAATTACAGTTTTCTTCTCTGTGCGCCTAGATGCACTGGACCGGTGCGTGAACAGTGGGAATGCCCTGGCTAGCGCACAAGCCGAGGCAAAGACTTCAGAGCGCTCACAGACCATCTGAAATACCAGCAGGAAGACAAATGGGTCACAAAGTGTTAGAAGTGGATGAAACTGGATTATAGGGTCTGTTATCCTTGATAAGAGTGCCAGGGACAGAAAAGAGAAGGAGCTCAGGCCTGGCCTATACACAGACTTTAAACTGGTTAAACTATTTCAATTAGGGAGTGATTTTTCCCCCTGAAATAGTTATACTGGTATAACCCCTCGTGTGGACACAGTTATACCGGGATGAAGGGGCCTTAGACCAGAATTGCTTCTTCCACTTCCCATACGGGGATAAGCTCTTCTGCAGGACCCTGTAGCACTTTTATCCAGGTGCAAGTATGTCCACACTGGGGTGTGTGTACTAATTTAATTACACTGATATAGTCAAAGTGTTTCAACTTTAGTGCATAGTCAAGGCCTAAGAAGCGTGGGAATTGCCTGTCTATATTCCAAGCACATTGACAGGAAATTACTGCTATGGGAAAGGCTAAATATTAACTTCGGGCTCTTGATACATGCAGTAGATTCTTGAAGTTTACAATAGGAATGAGAAATGGAAAACTGTTTTAGAGAAACGTTAAAAATGTTAACTCAGAAGGAGTAGACTTAGATCAACTGGCCTCCCAACTAATTTTTCATGTGATGAGTGTTGTAGATAGCCTAATAGTTTATCTAGAGAAATGTTTCATTACTGACAGTAACCTGAAAGTCACCATTCAAACTGGTCTGCAGGAGATTCTTGTCAAATTAAGAAGTCTCTCCAGTTGCAGCAGTTTAACTAAATCCTTCTCTAGACTAGGATTCAAAGTGTGACATTAGCAGGTGTTAGCTAACACGTTTTCAGAGTCTAGTGTAGACAAGGCACATTGCCTCTAATATGTCCTAAACTGGTTGTGTAGCATGTATTAAAGGCAGGAGGCTGCTTCTACATTATACTTTTAAAACACGCTTGCTAGTATGTGTTAATGTCACACCTTAGATCTCATCTAGACAAGGCATCTACTGCTGCAAACCCTTTGTTTGGATTCTTATTCCAGATGAAGAGTGCATTACATCAATCTAGTTTAAATCTTTTTAAAAAACACAATAAAAACAATTCTTAAAAGTGATTTAGTTAAACTGGTGCTCACCTTGTGCACAGACTAGCTCTTCCACTTAGTCCTTGGCTATGCTAGAAAGTTGTACCACATTATGGGTATGTCTACACTGCAGCTGGAAGCATGCCAACAGCAGAGTAGCATGCCAACAACAGGTCCAGGGCATCCAAGCGGGTTTTTACTCGGGTGGCTAGCCTGAGCCACTGCCCGTGCTACCCCCAGATACGCTGCTTTTTGGCGCATTAGCTAGAGCAGAGCTACTGTGTCTGTCTACCTGCACCTGGAAACACCTTTCCAGCTGCAGTGTAGACAAACCCTGTGACTATACCAGTAGAATTATACCTATGCAACCAACCCCCCTAGCATAGATTCAGTCATATTGCTATAAAGTGCTATATACAGTATAGCTAGCGCAACATGGAAAAGGGAATAAGCTTTATCAGTATAAATCTTCTTTATGGTGGTATAATTGTGTTCACACTAGGGCTTTTATTGCTTTAACTGTTTTGGTAAAAACAAAAACAAAATAATCCCCATCCCTCTCGAACTGAAATAATTTTACTGATAAAACTTTCAAGTATAGACGAAGGCCTTATTCTACAGATCAGACTTCCTCGAATACAAGAAAATGCTTAACTTGGCTTTTTAACAAAGGTACTTTCTAATTGTCACTTACAACAATACATCTGTTGATGCCTCCTGGAAGACAGTTTCGAACAAGGCGGGTGATGAAGTGAGCTGCAGATGGGCTATTGTGTCTGCTAACCTTGGAAGGTAAAGCAGCTACGGTGGCATAGTTCAGGTAGAGGGGACAGTTGTCGGTGGGATTTGGATTCAGAGTGCTTAATGCAGCCTGCCATATCTGAGAGGAGGAGAAAGGGAAAGAGATTAAAAGCAAAGAACAGTACAACACTTTTCTATCAGTCTCACTCTTGGTATTTCTGATGGATTGCCCAACTGTAATATTTAGGTGCGGAAAGTGTAGAATGATGCACCTGAGTTTAAATACAGTGTCCGCTAGAATCCACATGCAGGCAACTTTTTTTATGATGTTTTTATACACACAACTTAAATATGGATACATACTTCCATAGGCAGTGCAAGTTATGTTTGATACTACATTAAACATGGAAACAGGCCATTTTATGTAATAGCTATTCAAAGCCTTTATAATTAAAACTGTTTTAATAGTGATAAAAAGCTGGTTTGATTTATTAGCATAGAATATACAGCTGTTTCACATGGCCATTTAATTAAAAAAGGAGATGAGAGCCAATTGTTCTTCACTAGAGACGCACAGTCCAATCAAGAACTGCCACACATCTAGCAAGCTAAAAACCATAATGCAAAAATATTTGTGGTTGTCCTGTAATTTTTAAAAAGTCATTAGGAGCATCAAAATAAAAACAGATCTACACATTCCATCCAAACAGCTGGGAGAGGGAGAAAAAACCCAACATGATACATTTTACCCTTTTCTGAAAATCCAATTTAGGTCTCAAGCTTGCCATTTGGCATGCAAGAATGTATATTTCAATAATTACATTAATTACAATATCCTCACCTGGCATTGCTAGAACACCTGTGACCTCAAAGGAACATAAAGCACTTTACACCCATCAAAGCAGAGGGAAGGTAAGATCAGTTCTACATTTTAAGTTGCAACGGTCCCCTCGATGGGCACATGGCAAATCCCACAGATCTTCCAGAACAGCAACAGGCTCCTGCCAGATGTTCTATCTTAACTGCTGTGCCTGGAAGCCCTACTGGACCCCCCTCTACCGGGAAAATGACCTGCCAAGTGTCTCTCAGCTGGGAAGGGGGATTCCTTTGGGGAGGAGCCATTTTAAGGTTCATTTATAGCAGGGGTTCTCAAACTGGGGGTCGGGACCCTCAGGGGTTGCGAGGTTATTACATGGGGTCGCAAGCTGTCAGCCTCCACCCCAAACCCTGCTTTGCATCCAGCATTTATAATGGTGTTAAATATATATAAAAAGGTGTTTTTAATTTATAAGGGAGCCGCACTCAGAGACTTGCTATGTGAAAGGGGTCACCAGTACAAAAGTTCGAGAACCACTGATTTAAAGCACCATTCATTGAGAGGCAAAGGATTTTGCTTTGTGGGTTTCAAGGAGACATTTAAAATCGCATTTCGCTTGAGAGGGCCCTGCTAAGCCCTCCTTCCCCACAACATTTTGCCCCCAATCCCCTGAACTGGGGCTCCCCTCAGAGGGCTGCAAGAAGCAAGGCAACCACACCACGGTCTCAGGCAGGACTCTGAGGCCCCCATTCACCAGAAACTGCTCTGCTAGGACAGGCAATCAGAGCCAGTCGCTTCCAGCCACAGCAACTGTATTTCTGCTCAGAAAACACAGGAAGGTGATTTGCTGACTTCCCCTGTGATTTCCCTCCCAGTCCCCACCTGCAGTGGCAGGCTCACCCAGCTGCAGAGCTAGGAGATTAGAGCTGAGATTAGAGCTGAGCTGAGCGCAACCCACCCAGCCTGGAAGAGGAAGGATGCTCTGGTGGGGCCCAGGCACAGAGGCATTAGGTAGAGACTACTCCTAGAAGGATGCTCATTCAAATGACAAGCCCCCCAGGGATTTTAGCCCAGGGGGGATTAAACACCCCCCCAAAGGGGGACTATGCACCCTGCACCCCCAGGACTCTCAAGCCAAACCCCACTCCAGGAGGGAATCATGCACCTTAAGCCCTCCAGAGTTTCCCTCCACACACACACAGGGGCCCAATCATGCACCTGGCAGCCCAGTGGGATGAGTAACCCAGGGGAAGGAGCAGGGGGAAAAAATCAGCCTTGACCCTAAAGAAGCCCAATTTGTAGAGTGGGGGTGCGGAGAGGCACTGAACCAAATTGCAAACCCTGTATGTGATGGAAACCACTTGAAGCCAGGGGCTGCGGCAGCACCCCCAGTCCCAGCACCTAGGGCCCTGGGGAGGATCATACACACCCTGCAGCCCTGGAGAAAAGGGGCCCTAGAGCGGAGCGGGAACGTGCGCCCTGGCGCCCAGGGAGCCAGCATGCATCCCGCAGCCTCGCCCGGGGGAGGGGAGAGGAGATCATGCACCCTGAAGCCCGGGCGTGGGGATGGGGCACCCCGCAGCCCCGGGGAGAAGTCGGGGGGTGGGGTGGCACGTCCCGCAGCCCCAGGGTTGGGATTACCGTGCACCCCGCAGGGAAGTCGTGGGGGGTCGTGCACCCCGCAGGGAAGTCGGGGGGGGG